TCCTCTCATGACTTGGATTTAGAAAAATCTTAAAATATTATATAAGATTGATTGAGAAAGTATTGTGTAAGATGTTAGGATACAAGGGTGTGATTAATTGGTTAAATTTTAAGAAGAGTAATTGGATTGCATAAGACATTTACTGGTATTTTGTTGACCAGAAAAGAGTGAAAGTCATAAAAATATACTCATTCTTTTAGAGCAAAAAAAAATTGAAAGGAAAATATATTATTACTAAATTGAAAGAGAACAAAAAGAGTGAAAATATTTGAATTGAAAAGACAAAAGGTTAAAATATTCTTCTAACTTCTATATATATATTGCATTCTTGACATCAAAAAGAAATCCTTCTATATTCTATTCATTTTTGTTACATTTAGTTTTTTTTTTTTTGAAAAAATCATTTTTGTTACATTGATCTCTATTTTATTCATCTTATTTAATACCATTTGTGTTTGTTTACCCATTTTGAGTCAAGTGGTATATGTTGAAAATATATATATATTTTTTTGATAACCGTGGGGATTCTAAAGGTTTTATAGACCCAAAAACTAATCCCACGAAACCTTGCATCTGGATACGTGTTCAAAAATATTTCAAATTTAAACCGCGGCTAGGTGGCCAAGAGGACTCGAACCCATAACGTATATGTTGAAAATATGAAATGAATAATACCGTTGACTAAATCCAATCGTCAAAATGTATTTTAAGCAGATAGATGGCTTGTGTGCACGTACGTGTGACTAAAATACGTGAATCTGAATTTTGACATTTTTGTGTTATTAACTTATTATTGGTGTTTTTCAAAAGAAAAAAACTTATTATTGGTAATATAAATTAGATCTTTATTAAAGTTTGGTTGACAAAAAAAAATATTAGATTTCTTTCTTTTTAGTGTTTTTTTTTCTTTGAGGTCAAATTCTTCATAGTGTCTCCATCTATATACACTATCTAGGTGAATGAATTTGCTAAATAACTAAAAAAAACTAATAATTAACAAGTATTCCAAATTATCGCATGTGATAATACAATAGTCATTAGATTTAGGCTAGTTGGTTATGTTTGTAGAAATAATTTCTTTTGTGGTTATTGACGCTAATTATCTTTTCCAGATTTAATAAAAAAATATTATTAATATAAAACGATATTTTTGGTACTTTTCTTTTAAAATCAATAATGCATTTTCATTGATGATTTGATAACATTATTTCATCACGTCAATTTTCAGTTTTGTATACGTTGGAATAATGTGATAGTTTGAAAATGTAGTTTAAACATTATCGTAGTGGAAAAGAAAAAAAAAACATTATCCTACTTAAAAATAGTTGATAAAAAAACAAAAAAACTTTGTTATTCAACTATGATTATGACATGGGGCGCATATTCCACTTAAGATCCATTTCTTTTTATAAGCTACCGAATTATATGATTGGGAGTTTAGGACAAAGTCTCTAGACTCAATACCATCCATATGGAATTTTGGTAGTACAATTAGGTTCAATCAAGAGAAAAATAATCATTTTCAAATAATTTCAGGCCATATTCAATTAGAATTATTGAACTGAAAGAACCTTTTTCACTATTTTCAAATATGTTTTCTAAATGACCTATAGGTAAGACGTACCTAAACTTTTATTTATTCAAAATATGGCTCCTACTTGAATATTTTTTTCTTGTTAAAAGTAATAAAACCAGTAATTAACATAAACGG